GTTTATTTTGATTTTGTTTTGTTCGTGGGAATTCAATTTCGTTAAAACATTTTTCAATAAAAGAATTTGGATAATTATTGAAATTTAGAATTTCTCTTATAAATTGTTTTTCTTTGCAAAAATTAGATTGATTACAAATAATTTTTGCTCTATCATATAGACTTTTTACAATACCTTTTTTAACCATTATCGGGTGATTTGAGTCGAAATTCAAAGATCGGTTAGTATGAGTAGGTTTTCTATAGACTAAGGTTTCGAAATTGTCTAAATTTTTCTGATTTAGTATATCGAGAAATCAAAACTTTAAATATCATCAAACAAAAAAATATTTTTATAAACAATTGTATTTTTACGTTTTTTTTGTAGCCGATTTCTAAATTTTTCTTCAATTTTTTATTGTTGATTTGTTACCGTTTAGTCACATGACCATGACATGCTACTTTTGCTTAAAATTAAAACGATTTAAATGTTTCTAAAACGATCTAAATTCCAAAGCAACGAATCCGACAGAAGGCACAATGTGCATCCTAAATAATTGTTAATGGTATGGGGAAAGTATTTTTAAAGAGCATTTCAACTGTATAAATGTTTTATTAATTTCTATATTAAAAGTATCCAATAATATCTCAAGTGCAAAATCTACTAGTAAGACGCAGAGCCAAAAAAATACATCATTTCCAATCAGGTATAAATAATAGAACTGTTTCAATGTAAATAAATCAACAAATAACATTTTGAACGCGACCTCACTGTATAAAAATATCAGATCCTATATCAAACTGGTACCGTTGTTAACAGTATATTGATCGATAAAATTAGTGTTTTATAATATTTACTACCAACTGCAAATAATACTTCCCAGATAGTCTAGTTAGGTGTTAATAGTTTTCAAAGAACGCACTTTAAAATTGCTCTTGCCCTCGGATATTATTTTACATTCTTCTGGGTAATTTGATGAAAATAAGTTTTATTTTTTTTAAGATAATTAAATTAAACTACGATATTGGAAGTTTACTGAACAATTCAGGTTTATACTTACGTATCTAAATTCACAATATCTTTAGACAATTGCCAGGACATTCATGACATACCCATAAGTGTATAATAAGATCCTCCCTGCCTATGTCTATACCGTTGTTACCTCTACAATTTTTTTTCTGTCTGAATTCAGGCAGCAGTTGATAAATAGTCCGTGTCCAATATGTGGTGATAAGATTTCCGGATTTCATTATGGCATATTCAGCTGTGAATCATGTAAGGGCTTCTTCAAGAGAACTGTACAAAATAGGTAAGTGCCAATTTCATACTTATTAATACGAGTCAATTATTGTAAGTAAATCATTGACGCTTTGTATTTAGAGCATTAGCTATTTTAACTTTTAATCCATTAGCATATAAAGTTTAAAATATGAAGATAGATAGGTCCGCCCAATTTCGTTTAAGTTAAATATCTAAGTGCTACTACTAGTAAGTACTTTTTTCAGAGTCAGATAAAGTTTCAGAATAATGGATTATTTTAGGATGTGTAGTAGACCTCAACTCGACAAATTTAAATGACAACGCTCCCACTTAGATAGCTCTTTTTAAAGCTCTTCAAAATGCTTTACCATTGCGTTACTTAACGTTACATTTTATGAAGTAGTTACCGACTTATTAATTAAAAACAAAGTAGTGTAATTTTTTTAGACAATAATAGATCTTATCTTTAAATTTCTGACGAACATTATCGAAACTTTCCCTGAATATAGTTTTCCTGGCTTGTATAAGTATTTCTCGTAATTGCTCAATTGAGGCTGGATTTTCCCAGAGGAAAAATTCAGGTGGCCTTAAACCTTTAGCCGCTTCATATTAATTGATCCACCAAAGGCAAACAACAATTTTGCTGTAAAGGTTACTAACAATGAAATAGGCGTTATAAGTAACTTTCTAGTGTACTGTACATACTTTCCTGACTGTGTTTCAATTCCAAATCAAAATTAAATCCTGGGTTTCAGTCATTTATTGTCTCTATTTATCAATTAACATACGTTTCGGTGTATTTTTCCACCATCATCAGTTTTTATAAAATAACAGATAGTTAAAAAAAAATTTCATTAATTTAAAAAACAATCACAGTTCGTCAACAGCCTCATCATATCACACACTAAAATACATCACAATTGCAACACTTTAAATCATTCTAAAATTAATTAGGCCTATCGGGTGATTAGTCAGGACAATCAAATTTGGGAAGAGACTAGAATTCTTTGTTCAGATACTTAAATATTTTTACTTATGTTAAAAAGTGAATACAAAACGAAAATGCTAGGCTTAATAAATGATATAAAAACATATAAACCGGAAAAAAAGATCTTACTACCAATATACAAACAAAACTAAATAAAATAATAAATTTATGGCATAAAAAGAAATTCATAACAGATAATCTGAAACGAACACTATCTTGCAACAATGGCCGAGCACCATTTATATATGGCCTACCAAAACTTCATAAGGAAAACATTCCATTACGACCGATAGTTAGTA